CTGACTATTTGTTTTTAATTAAGTGTTTTTACAACAACAACAATAAACTTTATCCCACTAGGTGGGGTTGGCTACATGAATCACACAACGTCATCATGCTTAGTCAACAACCTAGTCCTTAGATATGTAGTTGACCTGGAGATCTCGTTCAATAACCTCATTAAACGTTCTTCTCGGTCTTCCTCTACCCCTTTTTATGGGACTCCATATTGTACGATCTACCCTTCTCACCGGGGCCTCCAATGTCCTTCTCTGCACATGTCCAAACCATCTTAAGCGATTTTTAATCATTTTTTCTTGGATAGGTGCCATATCGACTCTTGCTCCGATATTTTCATTTTGAATCCTATCTTTTCGTATGACCACACATCCATCTCAACATCCTCATTTATTTGGAACAATTATTTGGATAATTAAGTGTTTTTACAAACAAAAAAAATCTATTTTCAAAAACTAAAAAACTGTTTTAGTTTTTTTTTCTTGTTTTTCTTTTTGGCGTTTCTTTTTTTTTTTTAATTTGGAACAATTGGAAAACTCTTTCTTCTTTGCTCAATGGCTTTTTTTCCCACTTGATGATTTGAGTTCTCATCAAAGTTTCACCTTCCGGTCTGAGTTTATTTGTTTTCAAATGTAATTTTTCAAAACAATATTCCAAATAATTTTTTTTTGTTTTCAAAACTTGTTTTTAAAAACAATTTTATAAAATTGTTTTGAGGAAAAAACAAAACCAAACAAGTCATTAAATTCTCTGTTTATCTAACTCTACTCTGTTCAATGCCCCTTTTCCTCAGCAAGGTGCACTTTTGCTGTAATATGTCATATGTTCGTTGAGTTATTAATCTATTATTGGGAAGAAATTGACAAATACTAAAATATTTAATTAAATATATTTACTGGATATATATATATATATTAGAAGATGCAGGCTCTGTTCTTTCATGTTTTTTCGATTTTTCCAGAGAGAAGATATACATGCAAAAGAGAGTAAGTGGGTAGGTAACGAAACTAAAACACAATAATAAATACTATTTAACAGTTTTCTCCATTGCACCGTTAGTCTCTAACGTCAAAAGCAAGATGATGTAGCTTATTAAAAAAACCCATTTGAAACACAAAAGCTAGATTGCCAAACTGCTGAACCAAACGGTACCAATTACTCAAGTCCAGCTTTGCCAGTTGGGGAGTCAGCTTAGATTTAAAAACGTGATGCCAAACACACCCTTAGACTATGCTTCGATGGGAGACAAGTGAGAGGAAAATAAGGGGAAGTACTAAGAAAGAAACTCTCAAATATAGTAAAAAAATTTTACTATTTTGGAGAGTCTATCCTCCCAGTATTCATTCCTTCTTGATTTTCTTTCTATCCAAACAAAGAGATAACATACGTTTGTACATTTTTAGCCACGGAATTAGCCACAAAATTTTTTGACTAAAAAAATTCCGTGTCTAATTTTAATTATAAAATTTTAGCTACAGAATTTTCTGATGGAAAAAGCTCCGTGGCTAATTCCGTGACTAATTAGCGACAGAATTAATTTCGTGGCTAAGTTTAGCGACGGAATTTTTGTAGGTAATCCGTCAGAAATTAGCAATGGAAATTATTCCGTCACTAATTTCGTCCGTAATTACCTGTTTTTTTGTGGTGCCATCTATTATTTGTATGAAGGTGAAATTCAGTCGAACGTGGTCTTTAATGAGTTCATTTGAATAGTTAACTCATCAATATTATTAATATATGATATACAAAAAAATTTCACCAAAAAATACGTGATATAAGACTTCTAATAAATTTATTATTAGCAGTTCCAAACTACAGTATTTTTTTGGATTTTCCATTGCTGGCTAGAAAAGAGGGAAAAACAAACGAGTCCAAAAAATTGTTTGGAATCATGTCTAGAAGCACATATAAACACGTTCTACGTAAATAAAGACAAAATTCTTCTTACATATTTATTTCATATTTTATAAATCATGATTGAACAATTATTTATAAGTCATTCTAAATATACGGCTAGTGAATGCCAAGAATGAAAAAGCAAACTGTCAAATGCCTGCTTTGATTGGCACTAAGCCAGTAATTGTTTTTCTTCAATAGCATGCCGATAATTTAGATCATTAATTTATTCTTATACTAAAAAAGTCTATTAAATTAATAAAATTTTTAAATTTATTCTTATTAAAAAAATTTCTCTTTGTACTTGCGAATAATTCTCACCTCTCTCATTAAATACTGTGCAAGCAACTTATACTTAGCATCAAAAATTTTTTTGACCCTTTTGACCCTTTATATCTTGATTAAATAATAAAAATGATTATTTGAAGTTTATTTTGATATCTTTATCTTTATTTTAATTTTATCTAAATATAAAGTTAAAAATATAAGTTTACAATTAAACCCCTACCCAATCGTCTCAAAAAACAAAGAGTCCCAGTTACTCATAAAATTACTAGTAAATAAACAGATAAATGAGGGCAGAGGGCTTAAAAATTAAACACCAGGCAACAGACATCATGAAGTCTTGAATGATGACTTAAATTAAACTTGTAAACAATGAAGACATTAGGTTCTTGACGTAAACCAAAAAGCTCCTGAAAAATATATAATGAAGAATGAAATTAATGAATGAAGTAAGAGGATGAAATGAAGAGGGGTTTAAATTTACCAGAATGGCCAGTATGATCTGCCAGAACTTGAACTGAGCCGATGGGAAGGAGGAAGAAGAAAAAGCCCCCGCCGGGAGGAACAAGCAAAACCTTGCAAGACAGGAAGCCATTGCACTGTCTTTTAGTGTTTCATCTTCATGTTATTGTTTTGATTTGAGAGCTGAGCCGCGTCGGGTTCTTTCAGGAAGTCGAAAATGGTATGGAGGGTGTTGTTGAGTGGAAACTCTAGGAACCAACCATTATTGATTCTGAGAATATACATTGGGCGAAGGGGCAGACATAAGTGTAAGAAATTTATATCCACGTTGTTGACAAAAGAGTGAGTATATGGAGATTCTTTTTTTTTTTTTTTATAGTAAAGAAAAGAGACCCAGACCACATCCTACTTGACTGCATGTTTACAGCGCAATCATTATTCAGAATCATAATAAGCTCGGAAGGAGCTTCAACAACAAAGCTAAAACCATGAACTGCCGCGAGCCCTTGTTTGGCGAGATAGTCCGCTGCTTTGTTGCCAGTTCTGTGTATAAACACAACTCTAACCTCCCAATCCCTATTCAGTAAAGTCTGCACCTCTCCAATGACGTCGTAGTCCGCATGATGTTCACTTGGTTCGTTGGCCAGAAGGTCCATCACCCCTGTAGCATCTGTTTCCAGAACGACTTTTTTATGTCCCTCATCCCATGCCAGCTTTAGACCAAGGAGACAGGCCCAGAGTTCAGCACTCAGCGCGTCGCCATCATGTAGACGGTGGATAAACCCTTTCAGGAATTTCCCTTCGAAATTTCTCAGCAAACCTCTGCACGCGACTGCTTGCCGAGAGAAAGAATAAGCCCCATCAGTGTTGACTTTAACCCAACCTTTTTTAGGGGGAGACCACATGGTATCACCTGAGATACGACTTACTCCTGAAATATTCGCACCTTTCAAAAGTCGCCGAGCTTCTTGCGTTTGCCTGACCATAGCTCTCGCATTAGCGATTGCAGTCTCGTTAGAAGCCTTCTTATTCTCAAATATTTACACGTCTTTGAGTGTATGGAGATTCTTAAATGCACCCGTATATGCACATTACCTCTAATTTTTTAACATACATTAAGGTGCAACTGTTCAAGGGAAAGTAAACAAAGTTATGGAAAAACCATAAATAAAATCAGAGAGAGTTAGGCCTTGTTTGTTTTCTTGTTTTGATAACAATTTTTGTTTTTAAAAACAATAAAATAAAAAAACCCATTGGACTATTAGTTTTTAATTAAGTGTTTTAAAAACAAAAAAAAACTATTTTTAAAAACTAAAAAACTGTTTTAGTTTTTTTTCCCTCGTTTTTCGTTTTGGCATTTCTTATTTTTTATTTGGAAAAAATTGGAAAACTCTTTCTTCTCTGCTCGGTGGCTTTTTTTCCATTTGATGATTCGAGTTCTCATCAAAGCTTCACCTTCCGGCCTGAATATATTTGTTTTCACATGTAATTTTTCAAAATATTTTTTTTTCAAAACTTGTTTTTAAAAACAATTTTATAAAATTGTTTTGAGAACAAAAACAAAGCCAAACACATCCTTAAATTCTCTGTTTATCTAACTCTACTTGTTTAATGCCCTCATATGTTCGTTGAGTTATTAATCTATTATTAGGAAGAAATTGAAAAATACTAAAATATTTAATTAAATATATTTAATGGATATATATATATAAATTAGAAAATGCAGGCTCTGTTCTTTTATGTTTTTTTTAAATTTTTCCAGCTAGGAGATACGCAAGCAAAAGAGAGTGAATGGGTAGGTAAAGAATTTAAAACACAATAATAAATATTATCTCCGGTCCTTAATATAAGACCTTATTTGACTTTTATTTTAGTCTTGAATATAAGACCTCATCAATCCACTTTGTCTCCTATATTTATGCACTTTTTTCCCCAAGTAGTCTTTTTAATAATAGTAATTTTAGCCAATACACTTGATTAGCAAAAATATTTTAGGAAAGACAACACCTATTTATTACAAATAACTAACTTAATTTATTTTCTTAATTTCTTCAAATTAGTCAACTAGTTCTTATAATTAGGACCGGAGGTAATACTTTTTAATAGTTTTCTCCGTCGCACACACCGTTAGTCTCTAACGTCAAAAGCAAGATGATGTAGCTTATGAAAAAAAAAAAAAAACCCATTTGAAACACAAAAGCTAAATTGCCAATCGCTGAACCAAACAGTACCAATTACACAAGGTCAACTTTTGCCAGTTGGAAAGTCAGCTTAGATCCCAAAATGTGATGCCACACACACCTCTAGACTATGCTTGGATGGGAGACAAGTGATAGCAAAATAAGGGCGAGTACTAAGAAAGAAACTCTCAAAAATAGTAAAAAAGAATTTACTATTTTGGAAAGTCTATCCTCCTAGTATTCATTGCTTCCTGATTTTCTTTCTATCCAAACAAAGAGATAACATACATTTGTACATTAGCCAACCAAGTAATTCACACGATCATGAAAAGCAGGGCATCAAATCCTTCCTTTGTTCATCCTATGGACAATAAACAAACACACCCTCCTAATTAGCCACCATATAGTTAACATACATTCTCCACCAACCCAAGCAAAGTACAAGCACCAAAGCAGCACCGATCTCAAGACTTCATCTAAAGACATGGGATTTGTTGTATAGCCTCACTGGCTTTGCTAACTAGGGATTCAGGGATGGTGGGCTTAACAGTAACACCACCACTCTCCTTGTTGCTCTCATCATCTCTGGGCTCTTCTTCCTTCTTTCCTGATCTTCTCTCATCATCATTCTGCCCTCTCCTCCCATTCTGCCCTCTCCTCTCATTTCCCTCGTTTGTAGTCTTCTTACGCCCCCAACAAAACGGCAACCTTAAAGCAAATGTCAGTGTCACTCCTGATACAACTGCAGCTCCTCCTGTCGCTCCTGCCACTATGCCAATTTTCTCGGCTTTACTCAACCGGTGGTCCTTCAAATCCGTACTAGCCAGATTGAAAAATGAGAAGGAATTAGAATTTGGGATTCATTATGTATAAAGATCAGTTGTCACAAAGATGAGCAAACCTCAAAGTCAAATTGCGGGTGATCTTCTTTTCCACCAGAACTTTAGGAATTGGACCTGTGAGTTTATTCCTTGTCAAGTTACTGCAAATCAACACATTAGAGTAAGACGTGTGTGTTAATAACAAAGTTAAACCCAAAACATAAAAGGATATATGCTAACTGCCATAAGAGTATTTATAGTGGGAAGTTACTCTATATTGTTACTAGATATGCACGAGAGCGTTACAGCTTACATATATTTTAATTTTTCTGGCTCTGCTAAAAACTCCGGTATTTTTCCCGTCAAACTGTTGTTTGACAAATCCCTGGAAACAGGAATGAGATAGCATTATATGAGTTAATAGCTGACAATTAACGTGACCAGCAAATTAAAAATATGGTGACAATAATTAATTATTCTTTTTTGCCAACGGTGACAATAATTAATTGGACACTTACAAGACAGTCAATTCTGTGAAATTGGAGAAAGAACGAGCTATTTCACCGGACAGATTGCTAGAGCTCAAGTTTCTGCAGCTCATATATCATATCAGTTTAATAATGAAGGTTCTTGGTTGTAGCTTCTCGTATTCAAGCACAAGAGCAAGTAAGAAAAGAGAGACTGGTATGAACTGATGATAGCACATATATAAACTCTCTTTGTTTTCTCATTCTGCAAGTTTTAAAAGATAAGACTTCATCTTCTACTCACATTGAAGTGATTCTTGGAGTTCCGCTATTGTTGCAGGAGAGACCTTCCCATGTATACTGCATTGGCATGCATGGATCTCCTTGCCAACTGACCCTTTTGATGCCATACACTCTTTTAATGTCTCGGATAGCAGCAACTGTTATTCCAAGTAGGGATTATGAATCATTATATAAACTTGGGAAACAATAAATTATATATGTAAATGTAAACATTAAACAATTAAACTCATCACCATCTCTTTTATCAGTGGTGGAATTAGCAGGCTGGGGAAGAACTCTGTAGATTTCATAAGCATTGAGCATGGCAGGTAATTGAGAGTCTGATCTGATGGAAATATTACTAACATGATAGTCTCTTTTGATATTCCTAACCAAAGTAGTGGGCTTCAAGTATTGAAGAGTGAAGGACACATTAACCCCATCGCTGAAAGTAATAACCATCTTCCTCTGCTGATTCTGTGACTTATTCTCGAAGTCATAAAAATGAAGGTACACATAGTAATCACCATCTGGATAATTCATGTTGATATCCAGGGAAGGAGATGACCCGCCAGGCTGAACAGCACTACTCAACACTTCTTTTGGCAGTTTGTAAGTATTTTCATCCGTATGACTGTCAATAGCCATCGACGTATTGATTCGCACTGTGTTTTCCATTTGTCTATTGAACCAGGACCTTCCATAGATATCATCATCTGGGTATCTGCATAATTAAGAAACAGTTGTTGTGCTGAGAAATGAAATTTTACATGCTTCATGCCAAAAGAAAAAGGAACAGTTACCATTACATAATGAACAAAAGACTGTTTACCTGATGTAGGTAGAATCTTCTTCTGACATGCCTAGCTTGGAGCGTGACATGAGCCTTAATAAACTCGAAGGTGTCTGATCATACCTAGAACTCCGCCATGGCAATACTTCCAACAATGAAATGAAGGGTGTTCCGTGGCCTGTGTTTACAAGACAAACATTGATGTCGTCATCAGTTGGAGACACATGAATGACCTCGAAACGTACAACGTCTCCTTCTGTTGGGTTAATTGTCTCCCAGTAATTGACACCAATGTGCAAATCGAACGATGGCATTCCTGTTCTATTAACTTTGTTTCCATATGCGAAGAATGCCCGTACGAGATAGTATGGGTTTTGGCTTGGTGTGGGCACTGAGTAGCAGTTCCTTTTCCCTTCTGGAAAGCTTCTTGATGTCTTCAGCTGATTCCCAATCTGTTCTTTACTGTAATTCGACAATACATTGTGCACTTCGCCGAATTCAACAAATCTACCATCATCTGCTTCGTAAGAAGAGTTGGTTTTTGGGTCTGTGTAACTCCCTCTAGCCCCACAATCAATCCTTGTGCCGCCGTCTGCAATTAGAAAATTCGAGTGGAATAAAAACTAATGTCAATAGTAAATTATTAAGATACGGGTTTGGATTCTCTCTACTTTCTTTTGCTTCTGCTCCTCTATTCACTTCCCAATTCCCATTTCAATGGTTGTTAGATCAAAGTTTGAAGAGCTCAAATTTCATATTTTATAAAATTAATAATCCACCCCTGTTTTCAAATAATAATCACTCTGGAGTTCTTTATATATTAGATTAAAAAACTTAATAAATTTCCAATATTATAACCAAAAAGGGGAAAAAGCAAAAACAAGTCAGTCAATGCCATGAGCCAAAAGCATCCCGCCAGACGCCAGGTTTGATTAGCACTAATCTTTTTTATTGCATGTCAATAATTGACATATATAATAAGACAGAAAATTTATTTAACTCAATTAAGAATCAAAATTAATTAATTTAATTGCTTTAACTGTTTTTCCCCCCCTCAAATCAGTGGTGAGGGCTGACATAAATTTGAGATTGGAATTAAGGAGTATCCATTATATTTATGTGTTTTTCTCTTAATGAGTTAGACAATGATGACATATCGGAAGGGACATTTATTAAATTATTTATGTAATTATTACATAAAAACTATTTTTTAATAAGTTTTTCACCCTTTATATTTTGATACCTTTGTCTTTATTTAAATGTTATCTGAAACAATTAATAATAAATATAACATGAGAAAACTAATTTGAAGATCCTTACCATTTTTATTAATTCTGGATCACTTCCTTATATTTACATTTTTTTTATTGGGTTTAATTTTATAATGTTAAATATATTAGTCCCTTAGAGTAAAATCTGTTAATAGTGTTAAATTTTCTGTTAATCTAAGTCTGAAACATTTTGCTTCCGCTCCCCTTCCACCATATCTAACCAAGCTCTCCCCTCTCTTTCATTCTTTCCATGATTTTGTCTCTTTACCCACCTGTCTCCCTGCTGATAATTGGCTCACCATTGCTTTCAACCTCTCCATAATTTTAGCTATAAATTTAATTTTTTGGCTCGAGGAACCAAGATTCTCGTACTACTTTATTTTTACCTCTGTGGATGATTCTGCAGCAGTACTTATTTTTGGGTGTTGGGCTTAAAAGAATCACTCACCACTTTTCTTCCCACAAACCCAATACTTTCGTCTTTTTTCATGCTTTTCTTGTTACCGTAATTCTCCAAAAGAGGTTCAGGCTAGATGGCAATGGACAAGTGACTGTGGGATGGCCGAAGAGAGTCTCGGTGACATTATAGCCAAGGGAAGGGAAGGTGTTGTGGAGAGGTTAAAAGCAGGGAGAATGGTGAATAAAAAGATAGACTTGTTGAACAAATGAAGGAGAGGGAAGAGCTGGGTCAACTACGGCGGAAGGAGAGAGGGCAAAGATGTTTCAGACTTGACTAACGGAAAACTTAACACTGTTAGAAGATTTAACTCTAAGGGTCTAATAGATTTAACATTGTAAAATTAGAGGACCCAATAAAAAGGAAAAAAAAGTATAGGAACCTGATTTAAAGTTGATAAAAACTATGAGGACCTTCAAATTAGTTTTTCCATATAAAATTAAAAATATAAGTTTAGTAGTTTAAAATTACTATCGTTTAAAAAACAAGAGCAGCTGTTACTCATAAATAAAATTACTTACAAATAAATAAATAAATGAGGACAGAGGACCTAAAAATTAAACACCATACAATAGCCATCATCAAGTCTTGAATAATAGCTCGCTGGCCAAACAAAAAAAAAACAGAATAATGACCTAAAATCAGACTTTTAAACAATGAAGACATAAGATTCTTTATTTAAACCAAAAAGCTCCTGAAATATACATAGACACATAGAAAATAACTAATTTAAACTAATTAATAGACAAAGTAAGAGAGGTGAGATGAACAGAGGTCTAAATTTACCAGAATCGCCAGCATGACCTGCCGGAGCCTGTGCTGAGATGATGAAAACGACGACGAAGAAGTAGGAAGAAGCAAAACCTTGCAAGACACGAAGCCATTGTAGTGTCTTCTTGTTCTTCATCTTCATGTTATTATTGTTTCTTCTGGGAAGCCGAAAATGGTGGTGGGTGCTTTTGAGTAGAAATTCTGGGTACCAACCAGCAGGGTGGCCTGGCTTTTATCTATTGGAGTAGTATTTTAATTACTGATTAATTTAACTGCAATTATTACTCTGCCAAACTCCATGCCCTTGCCTCCTCCACTATTCCACCTTGTTCACCGTGCCAGAAAACGACACTTACATTATTGTCTGATTCTTTTTGGACTCATTGTCCATCATGCGCCTTCTGCGTATTGAGCGAAAGCTGTTTAGAATAACTCATAAATAATTTTTCAATTATAAGTTATGTAATATGTGAAGTATATGAGAGAAGTTTTATTTTAATTTATGTGAAACGTGTTTATAAATAATTTCGAGTATTATAACAAACAGGACTTTAGATAACTAATTAAGTAATTTCAAGATATTAAAAAAATTATTTAACTTAATATTTGAGAGTAATAAATATATATTGATTTTTTTAAGACATTTTATTTGATAACTGTCTTATTAATGTAAACCCCTTTATGAATAGGCTCTGTTTGAAAAAATTTATAAATTTTGGAGATTAAATAAATTAAAATCTTATATTTAATATTAAAATAAACATCTTAATTAACTTTTATACTCCTCCAGTTTTTAATATAAGATCCATTTAACTAATTTGATTAGATTAAGGAAATTAGGTAAGTTAGTTAATTATAAAAAAAGTGACACATTTTTCCTAAAACACCATAATCATCTTTCTTAATACCCCTCTCCCTCTTATACTTGATTATGGTTGAGAGAATATCTATAGGGGTAATTTAGAGAAAATTAATAAATATGAGAAATGGGTCTTATATTTAGGACCAAAATCAATTTAAAAATTAGATTCTATATTAAAGACCGAAGGAGTATATAGAATCTCCAATTGATTAAGAGGTTGTTAGAGATGTTTAATATGATTTGGCTAATGCTCATCATCAATCATTCAATGGTGGTTAGAGATGTTAGGGACGTCAGCATCCCAACGTCAGGCATTTGGCTATTTGCTAATGAATGACCTACATTGACGTAAGGAGGAGTAAATAACTAGTCGATTTTCCTGTAATATTTCAAAAGAAAACACAAAATTTAAAAAAAAGGGATAAAATCTAACTCTGATTTTGGTGGCATTGATTAAAGATGCAGATTGGGACCCATGAAATAGTGAAACGTGGCATGTTGAGGCAAAAAGAAAAGAGAAATTCTTGCGTGCTCCCAGAGCACCAAATCATTTATACTCTGACTAATCAAAATATGCCACATCAATAAATTTAATCTGACATGCCACTTTATTTGTCATTTTTTGAAGGCTTAGTTTCCATTTTTTTCACCCGCTTCTCTCTCCTCTTCCGTCATCTTTTTCTCTTCGTCCTTTTTTGAAATCCTCTATTCTTCTTAACTTTTTTCCTCCGACTCCATCCCTACCCACCAGATGTAGAGCGGCCTTCTTTCATCTTTCCTTTCCTTCTTTCACCCAGCAAAAAATAAAAATAGCAAACCACACATAAATTTCAGAATGTAGAGAAGATAAATTTTTCCGTCATGATTTTAGATCTGAAATAGGAACAATCATGTTCAAGAACTTGAAAGAGGGAAAAGGAGGATCGGAGGAGATAGGGCCGGGGGAGTGACGGTGGGAGGAGTTGGAGGGTGAAATGCAGGTGACGCAGAGGTAGGGGAGGGAGGCAAGATGAGAGAAGATGAATCAAGAGTGAGGGAGATGAAGAAATAGAAGCAGAAAAACGCAGCAAAGAGGAAAAGGAAAGAGAAAGAGAAAGTTAGAAAAAAAAGATGAAGAGAAGGGTTACGATTAAGGAGAGAGAAGCGATGGAAGAAGATGGGCGTAAGTTTTTTTTTTTTTTAAATGACAGATAAGATAACACGTCAGATTAGACTTATTAATATAGTGTATTTTAATTGGTTAGAGTATAAATGATTTGGTGCTCTCGGAGCACGCAAGAATTCCTCGAAAGAAAAAATAAAAGGCAAGAATCCTAATTAAATCTAATTAAAATAGTTAAATTTAAATTCAGATTTATGTTTTTAACAAATTTCTAATCAGCTATAAGGTCCTATTAGGAATTTTTAATTATTATTAAATGGTCAGAATGACCCTCGTTAATTAAAAAATTAATTTTTTACCCTTTCCTAATAGTTCTTCTTTTTTTATGATTATTTTTTGGGATTAAAAAATATATAAATAAATTTATAATGTTTAAATTTCTATATGCAGCCAAAACTTTCAAAAATATTTTAGTCGAACATTTTAAATTACAATATAAGTATCTTTTAAATAAATATTTTGTATTTTTATGTTGTAAATATTTATTTTTAAGATTTTAAAATACCTTATTTATAAGAAATATTTTATTTAAAGTTGTTACAAATTATGTTTTGGGTTGGAATCCAATGCATGCTGAAATAGCTAAAACTAACGTAAATTGTAAGAGCATAATATTAAATATTTTTTGTAATTAAAATATTTTAAGATCTTAAAATAAATATTGACAAACATAGATAAAAAATATTTATTTGAAAGCTATTTATGTTAAAATTTTAAAAAAATTTTAAAATTTTTTTTAAAGCTTTTAGTTATGCATACAAGTTTTGGACACTGTAAAATTTTTTATGATTTTTGTTTCTAAAAATAATCATAAGAGGTTAGAGATTATTTGAGAGGGATAAATAATCAGTTTTTCACTTTAATTAAAGAGAGGTTTTAATTCAGATATTTTAACTAGTGTTTAAAAATCTGGACCAGACCGAATAGTCCGACCGATCAAGCTATCACCGAAACCTTCTTCGGTTTGGTTCAGATTTAAAACTCGTTTTAGAAGTTGGGCCATGTTAACTCGTCATCTGGCTTCTATTAAGCCGTCAACCGTCGTAAGTCCAGGAACCGGAGCAAGTATGTGAAAACCGTCCGGTCAGAATCCTGTCCGTACTTCCACCTCAAACGTGAGAGCTTCGTCTTCTTTCTTTGCAAGTTCGCCATTTTTCTTTGCAATTGAAAGCCCATTCGACTTCTTTTTTTTTCCCCCTCAGCCACTGTGAGTGTCTGTAACGGAAGTTAGGAGGCATGGATGCATGAAAATAAAAGACGGAAGGAGAAGGAAAATGACATCTGAAACGAGAAAGAAGAGAACAAAATACAAAAAAGAAGAAAGAAGGCCAGGGACAAAGGTGGGAATACGAAAATTAAAAAGGACTACTCGTGAGCTTTTGACTTTTGATAGACATTGTGATATGCAACAGTAGAAGAGAAGCAGACCTCGAAAAACTCAAAGAGAAGACTTGGAAACGAGAAGACAAGGTGGATAAAAAAGCTAACATAAAAAATTCAAACCTGAAATAAGTTAAATTAATATTAAGAATATATGAAATTGTTTTCAATCTAAACTTTCATGCGTCAAGTTCTTCAGCTTGGGACATGAAACGTGAGTACCAAAACAGAAATGGATTATATTGATAAATATTTATATTGAATTATTTATTATTTATAATTTCTGCTTTATTTAAAAGTAAATTACAATTTACTGCTACTTATATTAAAATTAATTAATATAAAACTGATAATTTTATTTTAATTCTATTCCGTAACCTGAAATTCAACTATTTAATTTTTTTAAATTACCCAAAAATTATATATTTTATTTTTTGCATATATATTATTATATATGGATACAATACTATTTTTTATTTAATTATTATACTACCGGTCCAACCGATCTAACCGTTTAAACCATGACCCGCTGGTCTTTCTGACTTAACTTCCGGTCTAACTTTTAAAATATTGATTTTTCAACTGAATTTTATTAGGATTTCTCCTTTTAATTAGTCTGGTCCTATTTATAAGTTACTTTCAATATGTTTCACATAAATCAAAGAAAATCTTAAATTTTATTAACTCTCATTTAAAATTCAATAATTTTCTAACTTTATTCATGTTTAATATACATTACATCTTATGTAAATAAAATCAACATAATAATAAATAAAGGACAAAATTGTACATTCATAAAAAAAAATTCTTTCAATGCCCTATAAATAGAACTAAAAAATATTTTTTCTCTCTGTCCTATAAATAGGATCAGAGGATTAATAAACAATGTTCAATATTCATAAAATTAAAGATGAAAATATTCATAAAATTAAAGATGATATAAGTCTACTTGTTAATTAAATGTCACGTGTACTTGTTAGCAAAGTTCAACATCAATAACTACAACAAAGTCTTATCTTAGGTGGGGTCGGCTACATATATGGCATAATGTCATTCTATTCAAAGCAATTTTTAGCAAAGTTCAATACACAAAATTTATAATTTACAGTGCTATGATTGAGAAAAACTTACATGAATTAACTTGTCGCTACAAACATTCTTCCCTGACAGATAATGGCGGTGAGTGTGATGATCCACATTGATAAAAACTGGAATCAAATGTGGTGCTTGAGAATAAACTGCTGCTTTCTGCACCTTCGGGCAATGTGTCCAAGGCCAAACATTGCTTTAGATAATTCTCTACATTACTTATATCTGGTCTTTTCACACCATTTGGTTTAGTGCAACACATGGCTATCTCTAAAACCTTTCTTGCTGAAGAGATATTGAAGTTCCCCTCTAACTTTGGATCCATAATGGATTCTATATCCCCAGCCTCAAACTTTGGACTGATCCAATCAACAATGTGACTCTTGCCTTCAGCTGTTCTCATAATTGCTGATCGACCCGTCATCAACTCAAGTAGAATTATCCCAAAACTGTAAACATCGCTGGATTTGTGCAAGTTTCCAAATCTATAAAATCTGAAACAAGAAATTGTTTATTTTCAGCCCACTCATTGCTCTATTCAATTCTAGATTACTTTAAAAGTTAACAATTATATGTATTGCTAGATGGATTTGAACAGTGAATATGCTACCTATCCTCAAAAATTCTGCTTAAGATTGAGGAGAATATA